GGGAGGGTGGTATCGGGGCACAACGGTGTAAATTGTTAACGTTGGTTATAGAGACTTGACATGTTGCAGACCTATGTAGTGATTCTTTCTGATTGAATTGTTGTTTATGTTTGGAGTTAGTGGCAACATTCGTAAAACTATGCTTAAGTGCAGCAAGATGCGCATGAGTTCTTCATTTAAATGTTGAATATGATCCATGACAAAGAGGGGAAAGCAATTTTGGCAATCAAAAGTATATTTTGATGAGAATGGTTCTTGTACCTTTTGTCTCATGCAGGTCCTCATGGTCTTGGGTCCGTTGCTTTGATAATGCATATAGTTCATCTTTCTGTTTGAAATGCAATACAGTTTGAGTAGATATAGTACAGATCTTGTCATGTTACTCAATTTTCGATTTCAAAATTTCTGCCTGTACTTCTATTTGGGATCAAATGAGATAATGGGTGATTCATGTATTAAGACCTTGAGAACTTGAGTTTTGTGGCTTCCTCTTAGATCAAGGAGGATCATATATGATGATGGCAAGTTTTGCCGGTTTACTCCTAAAATGTTGGTAAGCACCATTTGTCCATATGGACCAGACCTCTTATGTTACTGGGAAGTAAACATAAGAGATTGAAGGTCTCCACTCCTACAACTTTATGACTTAGCATTGCTAGACTATCCGCCGGTCTATTTGCTTCAGAGAAGCAATGGTTGATATTGAAGTCATCATCTTCTGGATCTCTTTTATTTGGTTGTATATTTTCCTTCTTTGTTTTGCTTAAAGAAGGGAATTTACCAAAAGAATCTCATGCTCTAAGATATATGATAAAAAGAAAGGGGCAGAAAATAAAAATATATGATTTAAGCTAAAAAGGTTTGGGTTTAATGAGCTTCTAGTCCTTTGGCCCACCACATTAGCAAGCATTGCCCATTTATGAACAACAAATTCATTTTTTAACGATGATGGAAATGGAATTCACCACATTTGGCTTGTTTCCTCCACTCATATGAACGCAATGGAACTAGTATATAAATAGGCTTCACTTCTCCTTGACTATCAAAGTCTCGTTCCGGTTCTTATGTAAAGAAAGATAAGTGGTGAAGCTTGAGTTCGCTACCATATCTAAAACACAATCAATTTCATGACTCACAAAATCCAGATTTAAATTGTCTATTTAGATATTGGTTGATAGAAGATATAACTCGAGAAAAGTACAACTTAAAGTTATACAAAACTTAAGTTGAAAAATAGAAAACCAAACCATATCGAATTTTATTTCAATATGACATTGGAAAATTAGAAAAACTGGAAAACCAAGAAATTACACAAGCAAAATCTTTCAGAACAATGTCAAACTGACCAATGAAAACACCCTACTCTCAACGCCTATTTCATCTATCTCCACCTTCGTTTTTTCATCCTTCCTCTGATAATTCCAAAACAATCGCAAGATGAAAAGTACAGGAAAATCAGTGAAGTATTTTCAGACAGAAACAACTAAGTTGGTTTCCTCATGTTTCTTCCAGCACGAATTACTTCATCAACAAGTAACAGCTGAGATGCTATAACAGGCCTGTAAAGAAGAAACAGAAAAAGAGAAATTAAACTCCCAGAAATGATACAATGTAAACATACATAAAACACACACATGCTCATACACCACAGCAAACAGAAAATGAACGAAAAGTTCCCACATACCCAGAATTAACAATCTGACGCTTCACGGAATAATTATCAAATATCCCCTCCATTTGTGGATCTACAGGTTCTCCAGTGCGTTGATTTAGTCCGACAACATTTCCTTTGTCATGCTCTCCCTGAAAATAGTTGAGATGTTAGAAAGACTGATTTAAAGTATCCGTTCTTGCATGCACAAAAGATAGGTACCGTTAGAGCAATGATCACATCTTGAGTATCAAGGCCAGAGTTCTCAGCAAGTGTCTTTGGTATAACAAGGAGGGCATTAGCAAAAGCTTCCACTCCAAGTTGGGCACGCTGTAAATATATTGTCGAGACAAACATATAGAGAGTGAGAAGACAGATACGGTACTTGAAAATATTTAATAGATGGAGGTAGAGGATAGTGATAATGCCATATACACACCCCCTTGACAGTCTTTTTCACTTCGTTAATAAGGTGTTGTCGAGCCGCAACTTCAAAGGCGCCGGCACCCTGAAAGCCAGCATTCAAGACTACAACTTAGGAACAAGAAAGTCATGGCCTCGTTCTTACATAATACAAATGCAAATTGTGATTCAACACTTGAAAAAGTGAGAAAGCTTAAATTCCATAATCAGATGGGCATGCAAATTATAATTCAGTAACTTGTAACACATCTAGTTTTGGAGTCGAGAGTTGGTTGATAGTTGAAGCTGTAACCTCCGTTAATCAGAGGGAAAATTGGGTTATGAAGTCAATAAAGTGTTCCCGTCCTGACTCATGTACATCATTTTTTGTAAATGTTCAACACAAGACACTAAAAATTCCTTAGCCCCAACAGAGAAGATACCAAATAATGCACAGGATTATAATGATATCTAGCAATATCCTCACATAAACTAGACTGTGTTCCTATGCATATAGACTTTTCTTCATAACCGAGAAATCCTGAGCACCAGTGCAAACGATTTGAAACTCGGTGGATGATCAGCCTGCTCCTCTACCCTTTTCCACTTACATATCACACTTCTGTCTAAAATAGGGTTCAAAAACCCAAGATATGTGCCTAACCCACATAATCACAAAACTAAAGCCCTAGGAGCAGACCCATGCATGCACATCTTGGCCACCAAAGATAAACAAGCAGCAAAAAACAACAGAGTAAAAAGGGTACAAACAAACATCATGTAAAGGAGCTTCCATGTGGAAACACAGATAAATCTTGCTGATCAAATAACAGAACTGTAGTTTTATATTGGCAAAAATGTAACATACAAGTATAACTGCTTCATCTTCAATGGTATTTTTTACTGCCCTTAGTCCATCACGAACTGCATCCTTGATTTGAGCTATTGTGTGGTCATTAGGCCCTGTAAAGAAAACAGCACTGAAGGTTGAGATCGACTTCTCCAGCTCACTACAATGATAAGCAACAGGAGACCAAACAAAACAATTTGACGAACATTAAGCACCTAAAGTACCTTTGATAAGAATTGTACAAGAATGAGGATTTTTAACATTTTCTACAAAGGTATACTTCTCTTCACCAAGAACATGCTCATAGACCAGCCCAGCCCAGCCAAGGCACTCAGGAGTCAAATCATCAACAGAGTTAACTGCCTCCCCGCCACAAGCCAAAACCAAACGTTCCATATTTCTCCTCTTTGCCCTCCGGAGTGCGATTATCTGGATCATGAAATAAGTATGATTACATAAAACGTTTAGGGAGGTCAAAAGGAGACAAGCCCTCAAGTTCATGTAACCCATTTAAGTCTTGCAACCTCCCTTTTAACTGCTCATATTGCAATCTTAGTAACAAGGGGAAAAATACTTTGGGAAAGAAGATCCAGAAGTACTAAATAGTTACAACGTCCAAACAAAATGAGAACTTTATTTTGTGAGTTGTGACAACTCATCAAAGAGAAGTGTAAAACTCTACGATTTGTCATTAAACCAAAAGAGGAATTGTTAATCGTAAGAGGTTAAGGTGTAAAAGCATTCAGGTACTTCAGCAGTGTACTTCAGGAAACAAGAACCTTAGATGAAAGGTTACTATACATCACATTTTCTTTCCTCAATATTTCTACCAACTCGAGCTCTTGCACATGATAATATGGAGAGACAGCTTATCGCATATGTTCTCATGGATCCTTGATTGAGTGCTACAACAACTACTACACCTTAGTCCCAAACAAGCTGGGATCGGCGGACTTTGACTAAGTGCTGAAAACAAATTATTCAAAAGGCAGAGAACTTGTGCAATAAAGAAAGTTCATCCGCATATGGTCTCAAAGAAACTTTTTTGAGTGTTGTAAACAAGTGATTTGAAAAGGCACAGAGCTTATGGAATAAACTAGTTCTGAGTTCTAACTAAGAACAATAGAAGAGACAAGAAGGCTCCATCCAACTGATCCGTTGTACTAAGCAGTTTATGATGAGTTTCACAAGTTCCAAAATGTGTCTGTTGATCTTTTCATGAAGATATTTGGAATCTTCAGGATCCATTTGTGCATTTTATCACCATTAAGCTCCTGTCCCCCCAGCCTTTCTCTTGTACTAATTAAAGAACAAAGAGAGGGGGGATTACATGGGTTCTATGCAGTTCTTTCTATTTTACCAAGACAAACCCAAGTTTTAGCCATAATCAGACTAATTAGTTCAAAAGTTGCTAACACAGCAACCAAAGAAACCAAAATGCAAAAGGTGCAAGCTTGGCTGTTGAACCATTCAGCTACTAGAAACTGAATAAAGAGAGCAACAACTTACTCCTGCCCGAGCAAGTTGATCTAGAGATGGAGGATCAATCCCCTTCTGATTGATAACAACAAAATTCTTGTCATTTCCAGCGCAGACCTACAAAGAACCAGCAGCATTGAACATTATAATGATTTCTTACACTACAAGAGTAATGGGAAACAACCACCTGCACAGCATACCTGGTTCTTTAGGTCAATTATCTTTTGCACCCTCTCATCAACAGAACGCCGTTCTGCAGCAACCATCGCCTCTCTCTGCTCTGCATTTGAGTAGAAAAAACCTGCATTCACTTCACTGAGAAAGGAGAAGATTGATCAATGGTAAGAACTTATCACGACCAAGCAAATCTAAGCAATGTGAATCTGGATTAACACTATTACCTCTTCTCATATTCAAGAGAGACGTTAGCAGTCAAAATGTAACAGTTCTCTGCTCGCCTTTTCATGTCTGGATGTCTTGAACCATGATCAAGTACAAGGCCCTCCACCTAACAGCAGTAAGAATTAATGAGGTGACACATTAAAATTTGCATGAAGGTTTCTAAACCCACATGATAATATATCTTCAAGACCTCCAACATGGTCAGAATTATAGGCATCTTTCACTGTGTATTGTAAGGTTAATTTTTCACTCTTTACCCTAAGCACTGAACTACTTTCTCTTTTTTCATTTTTTAAATCAGTCCAATCATACTTTCCTTCTACACCATCCTAAATAAAACCTGGAAGGAGAAAAAATCTACAAGTGTACCTCAAGAGTGAAATATTTTCGGTAGACAGCATTCTTTATTTTACTATCGCCTAAACTTATAATGAGGTTACATTGAACTGATTTTCATGCATTTAAAATTTTATGTGAAAAGTAGTATCTGCTCCAGAATCGCCAACAATTTTGAAATTTGTAAAATTGTATTCTCCAGTCCAGAAGTTGACAGATCAGAATAGGATATTCGTTATTCTATGTGGTCATTGTCAGTAGCTGACAACTATCTTCAATACCAGTCATTTTATTAAAAAAATGTTAACCAAAATGTAGAAAGGCCAAGAATAGCATTCCACATACCAAACGAGTGTCTACATCGAATTTGTGACGCATGTGCATTATCTCAACCATAAAAAGATCAATAGCTTCATCAGGCTTGCGAATGCAGAGCACCTGTGGTACAAAGTTGTAAATAATGAATTTATTGCCAGATTGGTCATAAAAACCCCCATAGACAAATTGCAAAGTATGTAATGAATGATGATGCCACAAAACAACCAATATAGTTCATCATGCATCATTTCTCCAAAACAAAAAAGGTCGGACTTGTGTCTGAATAGATCAATGAAAAAATTCTCTCCTTTCAGAGGAGACTGCTGATATATCTAAAACTTTCAAACACAATAAAGATCAGCATCAGCTGGTCCCTACTCCCTCCTTCCCCAGAACACCATGTCACAAAGAGAAAAAAATGAACTAGCCAAATAATAAGAACTAATAAGAGTGGGTGCTCACAGAATTTGCAACAATGTCAGTCAGCTGATCAGCCAGTGACTCATACAACTGCACCAAAACAATAAATTTGCATTAGCACCAGTAGGAAAGGAAGAACATATCAACAGCAGAATCAAAATCTTTATTTAATAAATATTGCAGAAGAAACCTTTGTTCTCAATGTCGTTCTTGCAACCATCTTCAATATCTCTTTATCTGGCTCGTTACCCATTACTACAGGAGTCTTAAATTTTTCAAGAAATTGTAGAGTTGCTCTTTTTGCAATTTCAAAACCATCCACTAGCACACGAGGATGCATCCCTGCAAGAAAGGAACAAGAAATGATTACCTAATTTAACCCAAAGGAGATACTTATGCATAAGATTTTTTTTAAGGATCGCATACTTAACACA